AATTGAGAGTCAAACATCATGTGGAAGAGCCTTTGGGAAATCGGTGTGGGTCACATTGGATCACATGTCTTTGCTGAAAGCCAGCAGGACTTGCTTGGGAAGTATCGAGACGTTCTCGAATGTGGAAGCAAGTCCCTACGAATCAAGAAACTGATTTCAGTGCGTTGAGAAAGCGGTCGATGTCATCCGCTGCCACCCCGATACATGACTTGTCGAAGAAGTCATAGCCTTAATTCGGGCTTGCTCAAGCACCCATTTTAGCAAGTGACTGCATCTCGTACGTTGAACTCTTTTCCACCACTATTGAAGCTATTCTGCTCTGGGGCATTGAGTTCTTTTTCGCATTATATAACCTCTGTCTCGGCAATCCCAAGCGCTTTCCAGAAAAGAGACGGTACCGCAAAGAACTGACTTTCTTGATGACTTCACGGAAGAGGTTCCCAAACTCATCCTGATCTGAAACTGCTGGAGGCGTTGCTCCAACACATAGATATGTGTCCTCAAAGACTGGCAACAATGGCTCAAACCATTCCAAATTCATCCAAGTTCCTACAAAAATGGTTCAGTGCTGAAGTATGCTGAAGTTGGGTTTCCAAGAGCATTCCTGCCTGAAAAAAAACGATTATATACACTGCTGCTTCACTGACTTCTGTGTCTTCGTAAGATCACAGCCCTTTGCTCTGGCCCATCAATCATTAAGCCACGCCGAGTTTCGCTAATCACATCCCTGACCACCATAAGCAACGGCCTCTCCATCTCAGAGCCATGGCCACGCGCCTTGAAGGCAAAAAGCGTCTGCGACAGCCACACTGCCTTGGCACCAAACTAACACCAGTCTTTCCTTCCAGAATGATGCAACATGACATGCACTGCAAGAAAACTAAATCCCAGCGACACCAAACGTTCCAAGTTTGACCATGGTTGAGCCAACTGCACAATTGTCGTTTGGTCACCTGAGCCTGGCGCTAACTTTCGCACCGCCAGTGGATGTCGAAAAATCATTGGCGGCTGGTCAATTTTGCACCAACGAAATCGCTTTGTTGCCTGAAAAGGCTGCTGATGGAGAAGCGAGTCAAGCCATCTTTTTCCCCAAACAATGTGTCCACACTGGGGGTTCTTATGGTAACTGTTAAGGAGGACGAGTGCCTGATCGGGCGCTCATCGAAGCGCTTGGCCAATTCGCTGCTATTTACGGTGCGTTCATTCATCTCGGAGTCTTCAAAGTGCATTTCGACTACGCGCAGGCTCGCAGAATCTGGTGGGCTGGCGCGGGTGCTCTTCGAGAGTGCTTTCTCGTTGTGGTGCCGTGCGCTTTTTCGAGTTTGGTGATCACTTTTCGTGGCAGGCGCAACGGAAACCTCGCGCGTTGGTTGCCCGAGTCGACTTTTCGTAACAGGCGCTCAGAGTGGATGCACACATTTCGTGACAGGCGCAGTGCTCTGATTTCGTGGCAGGTGCAGTGAGCCGTGACTTTTGGACATGTGGTTCGAGTTCTGAAGTCGGAGGAAGTCTTGAGCGAAAGCAGCATTTGGGCATCTTGATGTTGTCCACCTTCAGCACCGTCACCACCACCACCACCACCACCATCACCACCATCAACATCATCGAATCATCACCATCATGAAAATCATTGTCACCACAAACACCATCACCACCGTCACCCCCATTAGTTGCATCATCAGCATCACCCCCATCACCACCATCATCACCATCACCTCTCTCTGGAGCCCAGTGCGTCTAGATCTCTAGACCTTCTGCTTCTACACCTCTAGACCTTAGACCTTTAGGCACACTGTTTGGGGTCTCTTGCCGGGATAATTTTGTTTTAAGCGCGGGGGGGCCGGGTAGCTAGTAGAAGAGAGGTAGCTAGTAGCTACTATAGTTAGCTACTACTTAGGACGCAGGATAGCTCGCGCTAGTGATTTGGTTCCTTGAACTTTAGGGAATTTATATAACTTCTGTTGTACCTAACCTGTGCTAGAAACAACACTGACCTGCTACACTGACTGGTTTTCTTCACATACAAGTGTTGTACGCATTGGAATGCCCTTGCAAAAGCCATTCGTAGTTTGCCTGAAGTACGGGCTGCCAGTGATTGATTGGGCGAGCTCTTGATCCGCCAACATTCCTTTAAGGTTTCGGGTTCTAGCTGACTATAAACTGATGCGGATGTATGCATCGAAACACAAATGGATTGGCTTCTCTCTCTACATGCGCTATCCGGGAACAGGCGCTACATGCGATTGTTGAGCTGAGAACACGTCAAGGAGCAGCGCGCAATCTGAATACACTGCGACGCCGCAATTGCCCTTGTCGATACATGTGCTATGGGTGCTTTTCTGAATGTATGGCCCGCAGTCCTGCTGCGCCGCTACCTATGCCCTACGCTAATAAAGCTCTATGTCCATCTTTCCGTATTTGTGTGCGAGTCAGCTTCAAGCACCGCCATCCAGTGTTGCTACTAAGGCTCTTTATTTAAAATCACCCTGGCACATCTAGGCACTTAGAACAAGCGCATTAATTACTAGTAGTAACAAGAAGCTACTAGTAGCAACGAGCTTAGAAGCAACAAGGAGCACGGCTCTGACAAGGGCTGCGACGCTGGATGGGCCCAGAGCAAAGTACTTTCTTCTCATGGGCGCAACCGTTATCCTGCTGTTATCATTTGTTCCACTTGCCGCCTAAAAATCTGCATGGAATCATGTTCTGCAAAAAGGTGCCAAGCAACGCTACGCTTTCAACACACTTCTTAACATCCTCGGCAGCAATGAAGGAGCTGTAGAGCTCATGGATGAACGATCAGTTTTAGTCGAATCATTTACAAAAGGTGCTTGCTGGATGCAAAAGGTCTTACTGCAGATCAATACATGGAGCAAATAACATGCATATGCTGCTATTCCTCGCAGGCAACTTGCCTTCATGGCTTTAGTATCACGGATTTGCCGAGCCAAGGTCTGCACAGCCTAGCCATGAAGCAAGGGAAGGCTTATCCCCACATCAAGAATGACAAAACTATGAGGCTCAAGAACTCCGGTCCTTCCTCTAACCTTTCTCTTACTAGTTGAAATCCGGTCATTCCTTGTAAACCTTGATTCGATTTTGTCAACTCCAAACGCGATCTTGCTCATGACCTTCTGGCCTTTGCCATGTCCACGGCTTCCTTAATGCCCTGTCGCAAGTGCACTGCATTGTCACATGTCACCTGTCGGACGTCCGCAATCAGCGACTGAGCCAGTAGCCTATCAACTCCAAAAAGGTTGGTAATGTCTGTACAAGCTAGATTCGACTTGCTACCTTGGTACGGTTGAAAAAAAAATAAAACACAAAAAGAATGATTGTGTTTTTATGTTTTTGGCTGAGGATAATAGCACCAAAAAAACATATTGGTATGGCAAGTGGCGATCAACGACTTACGAGGAGCAATGTCGTAATCGGAAAAATGTGTGATGCTTAATTATGGTTTATCCTAGCCAAGTCTGAGCTGCTCACAGTGTCATACGCGCGGTAAAAGTTTTCCCACATGGCTTCTTTCTCCAAGCGATTAATGGCAGAATAGTCCTGACAGCCAGAAATGTGTTCTGCAAAAGTGCTCAGCCCCAAGGCTTTGTTTTGCCGCGGCCAAGCGTCAAACCCTAAAGAGTTTTGCTATCAATGCACGCTGTGTGTGAACAGCTCTTGCACAATTTAGCACTGGAATTGGTTTGCAGCATAGCATGCTGATACTTGGTGAAATTTAATATATATATATATATACTAATATTATATACATACCTGAGAAGGGAGGGGACAAAAGCCAGCCGCCGCAAAAGATATCAATCTGGTTATGGGGGTGAGTTTGAGAGCCCTGGTGAGCTCCCCACCTCTTTTCCTATCACCTCCTCCCCCGCTATGCCCATTTTGTACATGAACTCCCACCCCATATGGGGTGCCCTTTTGAGTCCGGCAACTAGGCCGCTTCACCGTTAAAAAAGGGCACCCCCAAGCAATGCAAAGCTTGCCCGCTGCATTTTGTTCTCTTTCCTGCCCTCAACGGACCACAGCATGACATGAACTCGCACCCGATATGGGGTGCCCTTTTGCGTATAGTTGACAGGCGTCTTCACCATTAAAAAGCGGCACCCCCAAGCAACTCTAACTTGCAAGCCCTCTTTTCCTACCACATCCTCCTACGCTATGCCTGTCTTCCACCTTCCCCACAGCATTCTTGCTCCTCACAGATCACACATTGTCTTCCCCTGGTCGAACACTATTTCACTCACCATGAGAGGCGCACATCTCCCTTCTGGACGAGTCCCAACCACTTTTCGTCCCGTTGTCCCCTCTTTCCTATCATTGACACATTGACATGAACTCCCACCCTGGTAGAAAACGATTTACATTGCCTCTTGAGCCCCTCGTGATACGCTAATGATGCACTACTGGCCGTCAATTACATCACCGGCATCACAACACCCCTCAAACAACTAACTCATTTTTCACTACCAAGTGGCCACCTCTTTATTTTTCGCTCTCCCTCACCAGGCTCTGGGTTCACCTCTCCGAAATTGGCCACCTCGCGACCACCCCCCCAACACCCCCTTTAACTCACTTCGTTCGCTCCCCTGCCTCAAGCCTTGCCTATCGGCTGGCTTTCGCGATAATATGTCGTTTTAAGTGGCGTATTCCCATCAGCCTATCTGGTAGCTGGTATTTGTGTTGCACACCTTACAATTTTACATCAATTTGCAAACGTTGCACAGCAACTCACACTGATACGTTTTGCGCAACACTCTTCAAGCTCTGCAAATAGGTTGGCCAACTCCTTGTGCTCTGCAAGAGGTATTGCTTCTAGGGCTGGACTAGAACTGCAAAGCGCGGAGACAAGAATATGTACCTCAAATGCACTTGTTGCTGACATTGTTGCTGAAGCGTTGATTTTAGTCCCTTGACCTTCTCATTGTGAGGCGCTGTCAGATGTAGATGCGCTACATCAGTCAAATTTGGCACATTCAAGAACAGAACTATGTCACTAGGTGGTATTTCTGACGGGCTGCAACATCTGAGCTAGAGATTTGTGGCTGCAGGAAGTTCTCCAGCTGCACAATGCCCAAATCCTTCACTCGTGCTCAACGGTTCACACACAAGGTAAACCAGAAACAGGAAGATCGGTTTCTCCCGCACCTGCACAAATTGGTCCAAGAAAATGCGAGCTTCGGTGAAGCCGTAGGCCTTTCCAAGGAGCTTGCAATTTGCTATGAGTTAAAAGGTGCCTTGTCACCCAACAAAAAAGATGTGGCAGGTGGCTTTGCACAAACCAACTGGTGAAAAATTGGAAACCACTGCATGGTGGCGTTGGGCGCTCTTGCTGAATGCCTTCTTAACACCTTTCATGCCTTCTATGTCCTTGACTCATCTGCTTGGCACGCGCGAATCGGGTCGCCTTTCCATGTTCTGAGAAGATTGAGCGCAGCGATGTTCGGACAGGCGCCGACATATGCCGGAAGACCTGGGTGTAGTCACCTCAAGACAAAAACCAGAACAGAGAAGAAGGAGGTGTGAATGGGAGGGGTGAAGCAGTTGATAGGAAGTAAGCAAAGTAGCCAAGAGAATGGGCACATTGCTACATTGCACGCAGAAGGAGACGCACAATAAAGCCAAAAAAATACAAGAGGAACAGGAAGTTTCCTCAAGGAAACCTCTGACGTTTCTTTAGCTGCGGAGAAGTTTCCTTGAAGCGCCCTCGCACGAAACAGTTCCGAGTTATTGACGACATGTTGACAACATCACATCCATTGTCGCAATTTTCCATATGTTTATTTAAAAGGCTAGGAAACAATATGTAAAAATGCGAACTTTTCTCTATGCACAAAAGGGCTGCGGCCAGGTGAAAAGCTATTGAACACGCTGTACATGTTATACGTGATCTACCTTGAAAGTTCTTCACACTCCTTCTCAGGAGTGTGAGCGCCCGAATTGCTATTGTAGCTCACTCTGCCGCCATAGTCCATTCTGTGTCCATCGTAGTTTGGTTAATTTTCGCTCTCCTCTAAGGAACGGCGTCCCTTTTCTGTTTCATCTATCAAGGCTTGATAGCTGAGCATGTCTGCTTGATCAAAGTCTCCTCTCCCGTAGAACTTGCAAGACAGCATCCTTCACATCAAGACATCCTAGCACTTGAGAAAATGCTCCTTTTCTTCTTCCTCGCTGACTCTCTGCAAGAAGATTGCAGGTAGTTTCAAAACATATCCTGAAGTCGCTGGTGAGAAAATGTTATTTCTCTTTCCTTCAGCGAAAGCAAATTCTCTTGCACCTGTTTTGATCTTCTAAGCCACCTCTTGTTTGCTGTACTTGGACATGAGTTCTGCCTAGCACATGCTCTTTGAAAAGAACTTCACGCCCAATGTCGCGCAAGGAGATTTCTACACTTACCCTTAGTGGGGATACGATTCTCCTGAGCATCGTGTAATTTGGTAGCTGAATTGAATTCTAGCTCTCCTTCCAATGATCTGCCATACCCAAAGGGGATAAAGCTACATCAGCTCCACTGTCAATAATGATAGCCACACCTTCTCTCTCTTCCCCAAGTCTCCTCACCATGGGTCCATCATCTGACACATCAAATCTCTTCACAATCCCCTTTCTCTGGCTCATCATCATCATCTCCAATGTAGAAATGAACTGCTCGAGTTCCATGATCTTCTGCTTCACCATGTCCTTCTCGCAGGTCAAAGATGATTGGCTCACTGTTCTCAATCCTTCTGACCACTGGTTTGTTTGGTATCTGCTGAGCTGCTTTGCTGACTCACATTGGCTTGTTGTTGACCAACTGCGTGAGTAGTCACTGTAGCCCCCCCTGAAGATGAATGGGCTGTATCACTTGCAGCCTGTCAAATACAGTTTCTCCAACAGTCTCGAGCAAGATGTCCTGGCTTCCCGCACGTGTAAGAAGTTGCCACACCTTTTCCTTTCTGGTCTTTGCCTTTGCCTTTGCCCTTCTGATCGCCTTCTTTTCCTTTCTGTTCTCGTTTTCCTTTCTTTCCTTTGCCTTTGGTATCCTTACCTTTACCCTTCTGATAGTCATTCTTGCCTTTCTTACCCCTGCCATAGGCATGGCTTGATAGTCTGTACTGGTACCTGTAACCATTGAAGTAGCCCACTTCTGCTGAGAACGATCTCACTGCAACACTTGTTCCCTCAAAGCTGAGTATTGAACATTGTCGCCAATTGTCAAAGTCAAGCAGGATTTGAGCTGTCCACCTACACATCTCAAAAGAATAGCAGATTTCAACTCGTATTGAATTGTCGTCCCTGCTTTGACCGTCTCATCAAACACCTCCTCAAGCTTAAGAAGTTGAGGTTGTGGAGCACTGTTCATTGAAAATGCTGGCCATGTAGTGGCTGCTCTCAAGAGCGCTAACCCTCTTGTCTTCGAAGCAGGTTTCAAGGCATCAAAACCATTGGAGTCCTCCACAGCTTTCACCAATTGTAGTGCCCTGCCCCTCATCAACGAAGCTAACAATACACAGGGCTTGATGCACCCGGTCTTCTCTTCTGTAGTTGCCAAGTCCATGTCAAAGCTCTCAATTGGCTTGTCACGAATCTCTTTCAAGTCCTTCATGTAAGCCTATCCACTGAACTCAAACATTTCTCAAATACCCATGACCACTCTCTGAACGCTTTGACCTCTTCTTCTTGCGACCTGTCGTCAAAGAGATTGGGTTTGCGATCAACTTTGACCCATCTGTTGCAATTGCTTTCTTCTCTTCCACTTCTTCCTTCACTGCCTCAGCTGCTGGTGTTGTTGCTGCTGTACTTTGCGCTACAACTTGAAGGATTTCTCTGATCTCATCCATCCTTGTCGCGCAATAATGTCCTTCTGCCACTACGTACGGGGCACAGAGCGCAGCTCACAACAATTTATCACCAGTCCAGCTAGTTGAGTTTCAAAGGCCCCCACTTCTATGGCGGGATCTCAGTGGGTTTTTGGAGCTCAAATGGGTTTACTCTTATCTGAACTTTTCTCTACGCACAAAAGGGCTGCGGTCAGGTGAAAAGCTAATGAGCATGCTGTATATACACGTCAAAGGCGATCTACCTTGGAAGTTCTTCACAAGAAACAAATTACACCACCGTAGACCCCAAACAGGTTAGACAACAACGAAGCATTCCCAAGTCCACTTCTTGAGACATCATCAAGAAGGGAGACAAGACGGACAGAATGACAAACAAGAACGGAGACAAGATGACCACCAAGAAGGGAGACAAGACCGGAGAAAAAGGGAGACAGAAGGGAGACAAGACGGACACAATGAACCCAATGACCAACAAGAAGCGAAACAAGAAGGAAGAAAAAAGGGAACAGAAGGGAGACAAGACGGACACAGTGACCAACAAGAACGGAGACAAGACCGGAGACAAAGGGAGACAGAAGGGAGACAAGGCGGACACAATGACCAACCAGGACGGGAGACAAGAAGGGAGACAAAAAAGAAAGGAGACAAGACGGACACAGTGACCAACAAGGGGACAAGAAGGGAGACAAAAGGAAACAGAAGGGAAACAAGACGGACACAGTGACCAACAACAATTGGGGACAAGACCGGAGACAATGACCAACAAGAAGGGAGACAAGAAGGAAGCCAAAGGGAAACACAAGGGAGACAAGACAGATGCAGTGACCACCGAAAAGGGAGACAAGACCGGAAACAAAGAGGGACAAGAAGGGAGACAAGGCGGACACAACGACCAGCAAGAAGGGAGAAAAGAAGGGAGACAAAAGATAACAGAAGGGAGACAAGACGCACACAGATACAAGACCGGAGACAAAGAAAGAATGAAGGGAACGGAAAAGGCGGACACCAGCAGTGACAGACCTGGGAGACAAATGAATAGAAATGCTACATGGCCAACGGAAAACGGCGGACACCAGCAGGGACATAAACAGACCTGCGAGACAAATGAATAGAAAGGCTACATGGCCAGCCGAAAAGGGAGGACACCACCAGTGACAGGCCTGGGAGACAAATGACAGACCTGCAAATGTTGCATGGCCAGCGGAAAAGGGCGGACACCAGCAGTAACAGACCTGGGAAAAATGAATAGAAATGCTGCATGGCGAGCGGTAACACACCTGGGAGACAAATGAACAGAAATGCTGCATGGCTAGCGGAAAAGGGCGGACACCACCAGTGACAGACCTGGGAAACAAATGAATAGACATGCTGCATGGCCAGTGGAAAAGGGCGGACACCAGCAGCAACAGACCTGGGAGACAAATGAAAGAAATGCTGCGTGGCCAGCGGAAAAGGGCGGACACCAGCAGTAACAGACCTGGGAGACAAATCAATAGAAATGCTACATGGCCAGCGGAAAAGGGCGGACACCAGCAGTGACACAAAGGGCGGACACATCTTAAGAAAGAATTGAGAACCCCCTAGCAGTAAACTGTTTGGGAAATATGTTGTTAAAAAAGAAACACACACAATCAAGAATCAACGCCGAACGTCAGAAGATAAAAGGATCTCATCGCTCGCCATACCGATTGCATTCTCACCACATGTGCTTGAAGAAACGGGGATTCTCTACAGTGACATAGCGACACGACCATTGCTGCTGATGCGAAGAGAATCACAGCAACTCACTAACAGCCTTGCGCAGAACTGATTGGGCACCTTTTGGCCCGATTGTCAATGTGAACGATCTAAAAACGACAAAGAAAACATCCAACCAACCAGAGAATGATTGAAATGCATTGAAATGCTACATTCCGCGCTTACCGCCTTGCCTTGTGAGTCACAACCAACTGCTCCCAAACAGGTAGAGGCTGCGGGAATATGGCTGCCACATTGGAATTCAAGGAGTTAACGCAAAAGCACACTGAGACTCTTTGGGGTCTAAGCTGGTATAATCTATTTGTATGTGTAAACTCTACAAGGGCCGGGGGCCGGGGTCAGTTCACTCATTTCTTCTAATGTGTGCGATTGGGGGAACAGAAAACGCATTGAAGTATCAATATTACGCAGCGGCACTCTGCAGCGCCCTCCAGCAGCGCCAGCACCCAGGCTCCAAAGCGCACACGGCCAGAGACACCTCGCAGCAAGCTCCAAGCGCACACGGCCACACATTTGGCCGCAGCGCCCTGCAGTGGACATCTGACAGCGGCGCGCTGCAGCGGCACCAGCGCCCAAGCTCCAAACCGCCCACGGCCAAAGACACCGTTGGGCGGCACCCTGCTGCGGCACTGCTGCCGCACCAGGCTCCAAAGCGCACACGGCCACACATCTGCGCTCAGTGGTACCAGCAATGAGGCTCCAAAGCGCACACAGGCACCTCTGCCTATACTTGAAATAAGAACCCGCTAGCTTTCGCTATCTGGTGAATCAAATATACTGTAAATGTTTCTTGTTCCCTCGGTGCTTCTGGAAACGCTGGCTATGTAATTATGCGCCGAGGGGGGCCGCACTCACTAATGCGCATCCGTGCATTTTCAGCTATTGTACGAGTCGGCAGGGACAGGGTCCAAAAATCTAGCAAAATGTATGAAACAAAGGGGGGTCCAGAATCTAGGCCTGCAATAGCGACAGTCACAACCAAAAAATTACAAAGATGGAGGGGTCTGCGGGCTTTGGGGCTTTGAGATATGTTGGCTTCTTTTGTGTTTTGGCTCCAGCCACTCTCTGGACCCCCTATGCTGCACACAACGCCGAAAAGAAAATGATTTGCGCGGGTTTGTTCCTTCATGTTCCGGACTCTTGAGATGGACAAAACAAACCTTTGCATCCCACTCTCGGCTTGCGGTCTCGATGTCCCGCCCCTGGCCCTCAAAAGCCCTTCCACTATGTGGGGCGCCCGAGGGAGAAGTATAATGACAAGAACAAATGAGTGAAAAGAGAACGTGCACACCACTCCTCAAACGGACCGGATTAAGACACGGTGCGTGAAGCATCTATATAATTGCGCCATCCTAAGACAGGGAAGTGAGAGGTTTCTTCAAGCGAATGAGCTTCTGGACCTTTGATAGAGATTTTGACGAGCCTGGAATGACAGTGAAGTCGGCAGATCTAATTCTGGCACAGGCAAGTCTGTAGGCAGAGGCACTGGGAGCCTGACATTCAAAGGGTAATTTTGGTCCGGAAGGACAGAGTACTGGGATATCAGATGAATAGCACGGTCTGCTGACGGCAAAGAAGGGCGGGAAGACATACCCCCGACTAAGCTTCGATGAAGCCCCAATCGGACAAGGGATGGCGCGCAAGGTTTCTTGTAGTGCGGGAACATTTTGCACTGCATGGTATTTTCGAGATATCGGACCGCTCCCGGCAAAGTGGACGCTTGATTACATAAGCTACGAGCAGACTTGGGCATAATCGTATGGTTTGAGTACTGTATATTATCTGTTGAATCACGGATCCAGATCGGCAGCGGCCATCCTGCAAAAAGCATAAAATGTATGGTGAGTTCAAACCACGTTATACCAAAATCGCCACTAAGGCTTAACTAAGGGGTGGTGACTCAGGATGAAGCCACCGCAAAGTTCGAAAAAAGGCCCAAACCTAAACATGCAATGTTGACACCCGTTGAACAAGCTTGTGCCACACCGGAAGGAGCTCACCGTCAAAGGTCCAACAAGGGTCACCGATGGACCAATTCGACAAAGCTGCTTTGTATGAACTGAAAGCATGGAACGTCATCTGCAACAAAGGGTAGTCACCCAACTCTATGCAAGCGGGGGACATCGCATAATCGTGTTGTTGGCCAAGCTTCTGTGGAGAACGGTGGAGAACACGCGTATGCCCTGGTTGTTTTGTATGCTTGGGGGATCTGCAATGCCACGGCCCATCCCAGGAAGCTCCAGCAGCCCTAGTGTAAATTGTATCAAGCCATGGGGTCAAACAATGCTTTGGAAATCATAGAAAAATCATGAAAATTCTGGAAGCTCATTTTCCCGATAATTAATGTATAAAAGCAAGGGAGAGGAAACCACCCTGAGGAAGCACAAGTTTTTCAGGGAAATGTATGAAAGGGGGTTGGGGACATCCATAATCATCATATCATGAAACTTACAACTTCCAAGTAAAAAACTGTATAAAATTACACCAGCATAGACCCAAATAGCTAGGCAGAATCCCACGACCTGTTGACATGCGACTGGCTGGAACAAGATGTACGCAGCCTGCACAGCCAGCTTTACGGCACCTCCACAGCGGCACCCAGCACCAGCAACGGCACCAGCAACCTGTCTCCACCACGCGCACAGCCAGCTCAGCACCAGCACCAGCACCGGCACCCAGCACCAGCACGGGCACCCGGCACCAGCACCAGCAACCTCCACCACGTGCAGCACCGCCACCGCCACACCACAGCCAGCTCACAGCACCAGCACCAGCAACCTGTCTCCACCACGTGCACAGCCAGCCCACAGCACCAGCACCGGCACCCAGCACCCAGCACCAGGACGGGCACCAGCACCAGCAACCTGTCCACCACGTGCACAGCCAGCTCACAGCACCGGCACCCAGCACTGTCTCCACCACGTGCACAGCCAGCTCACGCTACCAGCACCGGCTCACAGCGCTAGCACCAGCACCAGCACCCGGCACCCAGCACCAGCACCGGCACCTGGCACCAGCGCCACCAACCTGCCTCCACCACGCGCAGCACCAGCACCGGCACCCGGCACCAGCACCAGCAACCTGTCTCCACCGCGCGCACAACCTGCTCACAGCACCGGCACCCGGCACCAGCACCAGCAACCTGTCTCCACCACGCGCACAGCCAGCTCACAGCACCGGCACCGGCACCGGGCACCAGCACCAGCAACCTGTCTTCACCACGCACACAGCCAGCTCACAGCACCAGCGCCGGCACCGGGCACCAGCACCAGCAACCTGTCTTCACCACGCGCACAGCCAGCTCACAGCACCAGCACCGGCACCCAGCACCAGCACCGGCACCCGGCACCAGCAACCTGTCTCCATCACGTAGCTCACAGCACCAGCGCCGGAACCCGGCACCAGCACCAGCAACCTGTCTCCACACGTGCAAGCTCACAGCACCAGCGCCAGCAACCTGTCTCGAATGCGCGCACGGGCAACTCATTGTTATTTTAAGTAAGAACCCCAAAGCTTCGCTATCTGGGGAAAATTACAAAACAACTTCTCCGGGAATGAAATCTGGAGACCGGGAAATTGATATTGAGAGGGGGGTGCAACTGCCCCTTCAATATGCATAATATATATATATATACACACAGTTATTTTATGTGACCAGGTGATCCATGTACCCCAGGCAAAACGAGAGGAGAGGGAGAAAGCTCCAGGAATGTGATGCGAGATAAGGCGAGATGGTCAAACACCAGGTACTCCTGGATGGCACAAGGGCAGAGGTAAGGTTGAGGTTAGGAAAGTCATTAAGAATTTGTATAATTCAGCTGAGGGGAGAACAGGGAAAGTCGGTAAGTGAAAGACAGTCCGACAAAAGGCATCAGAGCTGATGCAAGAGGGTTGAGGAAATGGATAAGCTTGCCTCTGTATGCGTCTAATTTGTTGGTGGAAATCAAATGTCGACGAAAATGCAATCCGGTGAGGGAGCATGCAACAGCACCCCAAGTCTTCGACTCCAAGTCAAAAAAATAACATGTAGAAATTCCAAGGGGGACTCTCGACTACCCTTTCAAGGCATTTCAGGCAAGTGAGAGTGAATGAGCCTCGTGTCTAACGGCTGCGGCTAGTTTTTGTTGAAGTTGTTCATCTACTGTGGGAATCGAGACTGGCAGTATAATGTACCAAGAAGGTCACTCATTTACGTGAATACAACCCCCTCATCGTAGAATTGTAAAGTTGAAAGTTGAAAGGTTACCAGCCTTTCCATTTTCTGCCAAGGAGCTGGGCATCAGACCAGAGGTAGCAAAAAAGGACTTTAGCGCTCGCAAACCAACATCTCGATGCAGTTCGAAGGTCCCGTAGACATACGCACCTCTAGCGCAAGCATTTTGAAAGAGAAAGTCACGCGAAAGACGAAAGCAAAGAAGAGCGAAGCGGCGAAGCGAATCGCAACAAAAACCGCAAAGGTCAGAATCGTTGCAAGATGAGAGCGGTTGGTTCGCTTTTCAGTGTTGCTTGGCAAACAGGAACGGTCGACCAAGTGTCTTTACACTGGAGGAACATGCAAAAATGCTGACTCATGATTCAGTGCGTCGAAGAACACAGCATCATGTGCACATTTGACCTAAAACTGCAATGCGTCCAAGAAGCTGTGCATCATTGATTCCTCCAAGCTCCAGTGCTTGTAGAGAGTCAGCCTTTCAGGCAGGCAACACACAGCAAGTATGGCATGGCCCAAGACTATGTTGCCCTTTCAAAAAAATAAAAGGACCGGATAACCCCACATGATAAGTTTTACAAATTTCAATTGTATATGAACATCACATGGGAGACGGAGTAGTGAGATGAAAAGTCAAGAACGAAGTGTGAGGAGAGAAGGTATATGAGGCGGTTGTGCTAAGACGTGTAGTATAAGTGATGATGTGATGGACGAGGATGAGAAGGAGGGGAGGGAGGAGGTGTGTATGAGTGAGTGAGTGAGTGGAGTGAGTGAGTGGAGTAAGTGGAGTGAGTGAGTGGAGTGGAGTGGAGTGGAGTGGAGTGGAGTGGAGTGGAGTGGA